TAAAACGCATTTTGTCGAAAATCAGCGATAAGACGTCAGTTGTCTAGTACATATGTTGCTATTAGAGGTCACTGGTCATACCAGGTCAGGTCACAGGTCAGGTCACCAAAGGTCACCAAGGGTCACCACATGAACCCAACTTTACTAAGGTTGTGCGATGCATGTTTTATGGGCAGTTTTTCATTTCCAACCCAATGGTGTTGGTTATAAGACCATCAGGTACGGTTTAGGTCACTTTCTGGTGGAGGTCAGGTCAAGGTCAGGTCAAAAAAGGTCAAATTTCAAAGTTGATATTTTTGCATAAAATGGGTATCAATTCGATGCAGCTCATCACGGGGAGTCTAATGGTGGTCTTTGTTTTGCACTACGAGGTCTAGAATTGCTAAAAATTGAGTTTGAAAATTTGACGTCATCAATTTTGAAGTTTTTTCGCTATAACTTCGCCAAAAAAAGAGGTATCAATCTAAAATTTGGTATGTGGATGGAAGGCGGTAAGGACTATCACATATATTCCGGTTTTTGCGAAATTCAAAAAACTTTTTGGATTTTTTGACTATTATATCCCAAAAATCTATTTTTTGATTTTTGGGGGTCAAAATAAAAAAAAATCAAAAATCCGAGATAGCAGTTTTGTAGCCCTGTCAATTCTACAGCTTTTATGTCCTAAACATTTTTCTGTATTTGCAAAGCTATAGGCCTGACAGCTCTTCCCGCGAAACCCTTTTTTGGGTCGAAAACGGCAGAACATGACGTCACTCTGACGTCATTTCCGGCCAACCTATCATAGCTTTTGGAAAAAATTTTGGTCACAATGTGTAAAATTGATGTCCGGGAGGGTACTGAAAGTTTGGTGACGATCGGCGCAGCGGTTCTGGAGATATATCGAAAAGTCTGGAGGGGGGCAAAAAATAGCCCCCCCCCACCAGGGCGCGGGTTAGGAGGCCTTTAGGCTCTAACTGCCATATTTATTATTGAATTAAATAGAAATTCCCCATACATACTAAAAATGTATGTTCTTTCGTATAGTGAAGATAAAAAGACGTGAAGATATCGTTGCGTGATAATGTTTTCGTTGAATTTACTTCATGATGCATTTCCACACGGCTCAAAATTCACCGCAAAATACCGTTTGCCTGAGACACTTTTACTATGGAACTTAAATGCTTGACTACGATGACTATGCATTTCCATTCTCACAGAGTTTGGAATATCACTAATCAGCAATCATTCTTTTCAGAAAGTGTACACAAGCAACCATGTCTTGACTCTGTCTTTCAAGGTCACGCGCGATTGCGTGATGTTGATGCATGAAAACGGTGTTTGCCGCGAAAGTTATGAATGGCCCACTCCAATTTTTTTCACAGATGGTTAGGAACATTATGACGGACATAATATGTAAAAATTACCCAAATCGAAAGTGGAGTGTTTTTTGCTATTCAAATTTTTCTGTTTTAATTCAAGGTCAAATGCATTTCAAGGTCACTTCAATTTAACTTTATAATTAAAAATCAAAGCATTATCAAGTGCCTACAAGACCCTGTTAATATCTTTTTGATACCAGAAATGGATCCAGAGTTATAGACATTTAAAAAATTGATGTGTGGCATTTTTGGCTATATTCGATGACCTATATCTCAGCAATACGTTATCAAATTTCGAAAATATTATACGTAACTCAGTCTTGAACCATGCCCAGTCTGCCTACAAATTTTCAAAAAAATCGAAGGGGATGACGGATTTCGGTGTTTGATTTGACGTGGAATGCCCCATATCCTTCCAGTTTGAATCAAATCGATGGTTAACTCTAGATTTCAATGAAAAATAGTGCATTTTCAATGCCATTTTGACCATGTACCGGTTTTTGTGACCTTGTGACCTGACCTGATGTCACTGGAACACAAAACTCCCAGGACACGTGTCGAATGGCTGCCCCAAGTTATGTCTGAAATTTGGTGACCCTAAGTCTCTCGGTTCTTTCGCTATTAACCCGCGCCCCGTTGGGCTCTGCCGAGCAACGCGCCCCGTTGGGGGGGGGGGGGGCCATTTTGGCCCCCCCCCCCTAAGATCTCGAGAACCACGCAACGTAGCGACAAGCGGCAAACGGTGTTGGATAGCCCTATCAGGGAACTACCTTGTGACCCAATTTTATTGACCTAGGTCAAACCGATGACGTCACAGGTCAGGTCAAAGGTCCAATTTTCACCGTTTACAGGCATTTCAAGAAATGCGTTGTAAAATCGAGTAAAATGCATTTCATTGAAAATCACCGATGGGGAAATGTTCTTCAAACACATGTTTTGCTAGTCGAGGTCACTGATACCAGGTCAGGTCACTGAGGTCAGGTCACTGGGGGGTCACAATATGAAAGTGTCGTGTGATACATGTTTTATGGTCCATTTTACATGACAAATGCGATTATGTGGGTCAGGCAGCCTTTGGGGCCAGCTTAGGTCACGTTTTGGTCAAGGTCAGGTCAAGGTCAGGTCAAGGTCAGGTCAAATAAGGTCAAATTTCAAAGTTGATATTTTTGCATAAAATGGGTATCGAATCGATGCAGCTCGTCACGGGGAGTTCAACGGTGGTCTTTGTTTTGCCGTACAAGGTCTAGAATCGCTAAAAATTGAGTTCAAAAATTTGACGTCATCATTTTTGAACAGTTTTTTCGCTATAACTTGGCCAAAAAACGAGATATCGATCTGAAATTTGGTATGTATATAGAAGAGCGCAGGGACTATCACATATATTCCGTTTTTTCGAAATTCGGAAAAATTTTGGATTTTTTTTAGTTTTTCTAAAAAAATCAATTTTTTATTTTTTTTTGGGCAAAAACCCAAAATTTTGAAAATCCGAGATAGCAGTTTTGTAGCGCCGCTTTTTGTCTATTAGACCATATAAAGAACTTTGAAATTGCTTGATAACTGTAGATTTGGTGAGCGTTTCAAGATTGCATGTTTTTTGCTCATTTTTGCTCGAACATGACCTCAGTTTGACCTCAATAACTCCTGACCTAAGGTGACCTAAGACTTGAAATTTGGTGTGAAGGTGTCAAATTGATGCCCGGAAAGGTACTGAAAATTTGGCGGCGCTGCGCGCCGCCGTTTTCTTGCTATTCAGGAAAAACCACAGGGGGGGGCCAAAATGCCCCCCCCCAACGGGGCGAGGGTTAACGATAAACTTAGCGATTCCTTTGCCGCTTATATAGTCCAATTCTACCCTGACATTGTACCGGTTTCGGTGACCTGGTGACCTGACCTGAAAGGGCAGAGACCTGAAATTTTCAGGGCTGATGTCAAAAAGCTGCCCCAGAGGGTATGGTAAATTTGGTTTGGTGGCGCTACGCGCGGCCGATTTTACGTTATTGGCAAAAAAACCTTAGGAGGGTTGCATCAACTCCCTGGCCCGGCGAGGGTTAATCAGCAATGTTCTTTTTTCGGGTCTGTCACTTTCATAGCAGGCCGGTTCTCCGTCTCTGAATTATTTCTGCTCGGCCCGTCCCCCTCGCGCAGCCGCTGTCGTGTTTCCAGCTGCGTCCCGATAGCCCGGGGCGCGGGTCAGTGGGGTCACGATATCAGGTGCCGTCCAATACACCGACCGGCGACAGCCAGTGGAACTGGCGACTGCTCGTATCTAATGCGAATTTTGGCACCAACAGCTATACGAACGCAACTGAAGTACCTATAGAAGATATCCTCATGCTTTAGGTACAAGAAGAAAACTGGAAAATAGCATGACATATATAAGATACCAGTATGAAAACATCATAGGGAAGTTATGTATTTCACCCAACTTCCAGTGGACTCACTGGCTGATAAAATGAATCCATTTCGGGCATTTGCCTCAACGGAAGCGATCAAATTCTGTCTGTTCCTCGAATGAAATAAGTTTTTGAAAATGTAATGCGATAAAGTTTGATTTAAACTGTACATACAGTAGGGCATTAGTAAGCAAAATCCGAGGGGCTCATAGAAATTGTACAACTTTTTGGCGAGTTTGCTCCCTATGTAGCGCCGATCACCCTTTTGGATCCACAAAGGAATGGTTTTCAATGTTGACAGCTTCATTATTGTCTGTTTTACTCATTCAATAACAAGTTATTGTCCAATGTAGGTCTGATTCTGAGTGGTGTGGCAAGAACACTGCATGTTTAGTCAACATTACTGCATTTCGTAACAACAATCCGCAGCATTGGCGCTGGTTAGTTTTATGAACTGCGTCTCATTTATCTACCAACCGCTTTAGAATTCAATTGCATTTTATCGGTAATTGAAAATTTCTACCCCATTGCAACTAGGTCTCGATGTATTCTGTTTGGCCAGCTGATTATCTCGATGAAAAGCGCCGGCAGAGGTCCTGGGCGCCGAAATGGAGGCGGTATTTACAACCGGTTACTCCGTGAGTGGCTGGCAAACAAATATGGCGTTACCAGGTGATTAGGCCGGTGCCATCTGCGCCTGCCACAAAGGTCAGCGACCAATCTGAGAGGGTCGGCGCGCGATGAGGCGTCATGGACCATTACCAGCTGCGCAGCTGTACGGTAACGTGCGGCGAGCCCGGTACGACAGCAGTGCACAACAGCAGCCCGGTACGACAGCAGTGCACAACAGCAGGCCGGTACAACAACAGTGCACAGCAACAGCCCGGTACAACAGCAGTGTACAACAGCAGCCCCGTACAACAGCAGTGCACAGCCTCCTCAGTAGCGGGCGGCTAACATGGGACAGTGGCCAGGGATTTAGGGATTCATTTTGCTGTTTTATGAGTGAGTTGACCGACTATATTTGATAGTGACGTGCAGTGTGGACCGCCTCTTCAGAGGAGTGTCCGATTGACTTCCCCCACCGGTCGTTTGACGCTGGTTTGGTTTGGCTCCAGAGAGTGAGATCCGCCGGTCGTTTGACGCTGTTTTGGTTCCAGAGAGTGAGATCCGCCGGTCGTTTGACGCTGGTTTGGTTCCAGAGAGTGAGATCCGCCGGTCGTTTGACGCTGCAGTTTGGTTCCAGAGAGTGAGATCCGCCGGTCGGGCGAGTACTGCCCAGCTACCGAGGACGGCTGGCTGTGCTGGAACACCACGCGGGCCGGTCAGACTGTCTACCAGCAGTGTCCCGACTACATCTACTCGCACCAGGTCAGTGGCGGGAGGGAGCAGCACCCAGCAGTGTCCCATCCCTCCCCGACCACCAGCAGTGTCCCTCCCTCAGTCCCTCCCCAACTACCTCCCCACTACCAGTAGTGTCCCATCCCTCACTACCAGCAGTGTCCCTCCCTCACTACCAGCAGTGTCCCTTAACTACCTCCCCAACTACCAGCAGTGTCCCATTCCTCACTACCAGTAGTGTCCCTTGGCCTCCCCGACCACCAGCAGTGTCCCATCCCTCACTACCAGCAGTGTCCCCTCCCCAACTACCATCAGTGTCCCGACTACATCTACTCGCACCAGGTCATTGGCGGGAGCAGCACCCGACTACCAGCAATGTGCCCCGCTAATCAGCAGTGTCCCTCCTTCCCTCACTACCAGCAGTGTCCCCTCCCCCACCTACCTGCAGTGTCCCTCCCTTCCCGAACTCTAGCAGTGTCTCCCGTCTACCAATGACAATATTTGACAACTACTTTCGTTAAGATGCAATGTATGTAGTTTGAACATTCAGATCAATACCGCGAAATAAGATTGGACGAGACAGGGCCATTCAGCTCAAGAAGATAATCCACCGCGGTCATCGACGGTCGACCATGTTAGCTCTCAAGGGTTATCGACTCAGATACACGCTGAGTGGCTAGTCACTTTAGAACTGCTCAGAAATAACATCTCTACGTGGTATTAACCTATGATGAGAGTATTTTGAATGGCCAAAGGGGATCATATTTCACTCAGTGTCACGCTGCGCATTATCGTTATGTTTTAGCGACATGAACCTGTGCTAAGTGTGTGCCTGCCATCAGCATGGACGCTTGTGCAGCCTACTTCCTGGACCGAGCGGTGTGGTCATCCCACTGTTATAGGTCGTCCGTTTCGCTGGCCGACTCCGGACTGAGGCCGCAATGTTTGCCAGCCTTCGTTTCAGGTCGTTCGGCCGTGACTCGCACTGTTTGGACTCACGCCGAACCCAGCCTCCAAATGGTATTGACTCTTGTTGTTTGCGCAACATTATGAAGGTATTCCGGAAATCATTATCTGGCCGAGATAGTTTGCACAGGATCAGTGGACACGGCCGATAAGACGGTGCGTTATTTCAGCGGAGGCGCCTCGCGGGACGGGCCGCCGCGGCAGAGGCGCCTCCGCCAGCGGAGCGTCCGTGGCGCAGACGGCGCAGACAATTGGCCGCATTCAAAGCGGCGCGCCGCTATCGCCGCCCCGGCGCCAATCGCGCCACCGGTGAACGCGCCACTGTTAGACACACTCGAGAGCGGCCTGTTCGGGCGAGCCTGCGCAGCTTTCCGCGAAGTGCCGCCCAGCGCGGGGTTACCGGTCTGTAAACGGTCAGCAAAGCTCTGGGTTATGTTTTTAAATCACCTGCAAGTGTGCGCGTGATGTGCAGTATGCCGGTGTTGGTGCTCGTACGTTTGAAATGAGTGTGTGTGTCTGGTGTGTCAGTGTGGTAGTATGCGCTGCCACCACTGTGGTATGCACTCGTGACCTTTGTATTACAAACAGCGACAAATTTGGGACTATCAGCACGGCAAGAGTAGACCTTTTCCAATAGTTTTGAATCGTTTTTTTTTTTTTTTGGCTCCACTCCAGTGTACCTAATGCGTATATCCGACTGATCTCTTGTCGATGCGACATGTGTTATGGCCGGGGAAAAAAAACTAAGGATGCCTTAATGTATAAATGTAGCCGAGTTTATTGTGTTGCCTTCCTCCTAACGACTAGGCATATGCACTATGCAGCAGTGATTTTTTAATCGACTTCTTTTTAGTCCATCTCTGCTGATATTTTCACTTTTACGGTGTGTTCTTGCATATCTTCAATAGATTAACTTCTCTGGAGAACAAATCACTTCTGACTCCAGGTCTCCATCTGCGTATAGTATGTATTTGCTTACGCGTTTGTACAGAAGGCTGTTTTTTTTTTTTTTAAATAAACATATGCATCTATACTAGCTCCATGTTCAAAGCCCCACCCCACCCAGTCTTTGGATGGACTGAACAGCCGACAATGGCGGAATATTCGCATGCCGAGCGCTCAGGTCTGGGCGTTCCGGCGGATCGGCCGACTGGCCACGGTCATCCCCCCCCCCTGGGAGCAGGGAGGGGCAGGGGTCGGTATCGGACGGCCCAATGCGTCCGTCCGCACCCATCACCGGTCGGCGGCAGGGACAGCCGAAAAATACGGCAGCGCCAGCGGCTCACGAACAGGCTAATCATGCGGGGAATAGATTAATTTCCGCCCTGCCACGAGCTATTAATGTGCTGCTCATTACAAGTTACTTTAGTTCCGTTATTATGTATGGCTTCTTTTACATACATACCTATAGTAGCTACCTAAACAAAGAGCCACCTATCGATATTCTAAGCGGCTATAACCAACACGCTTAGGTATAGTCAGCAGAGGGCAGAGGCTCAGTGATCGTGACATGCCCATTGCCCATTGCCCATTGCCCACACTGAACCGAATTTAACCCTTATGAGGCCGGCGAGTAAACCGGTGCCTCGGTTTAAATTGTTTTCAGAGCATGCGAGCACTGCGCCAGTGCCGGCACGGGTGTAACCGGCTGACTGGCTGACGGACTGACCGTTCCGAGACTCTCCTGTCAGGGGCACCCGGTTGACTGGCCCAAACACCCACCTGTCAGGGGCACCCGGCTGACCGGCCCAAACACCCACCTGTCAGGGGTACCCGGCTGACTGACCCAAACACCCACCTGTCAGGGGTACCCGGCTGACCGGCCCGCAGACGAGTTTATTGTGTTGTCTTCCGAGTTTAGTGTGTTTGTATTGTGTTTGGTGTACCTAACTGACCAGCTAATCGTTTTACAGAGACTCTCGTGAAGGAGTTAACTGACTGACCGTCTGACCGTTCCACATAGGGACCCTCGTGTTTGGTGTATCCGTCTGACCGTCTGAACGTTCCTCACAGAGATCCTCTTGCCGGGTGTATCCGCGTCTGACCGTCTGACCGTTCCCCACAGGGACCCTCAACTTTCTAGGGACCCTCCTGTCGTGTGTATTCGTCTAACCGTCTGACCGCTCCCCACAGGGACCCTCGTGTTTGGTGTATCCGTCTGACCGTCTGACCGTTCCCAAAGGAACCCTCGTGTTTGGTGTATCCGTCTGACCGTCTGACCGTTCCTCACAGGGACCCTCTTGCCGGGTGTATCCGCGTCTGACTGTCTGACCGTTCCCCACAGAGGCCGTCGTGTCGGGTGTTTGCCAAGAAGCAGTGCACGTCGAACGGCACGTGGTGGGCGCCGTCGGCGCAGCACGGCGAGTTCACTGACTACGGCGAGTGCAGCAACATGTGGCGCGGCCTGGTGCGCCAGTACGTCAACATCGGCTGCAACGGGGTCAGTGACGGCAGCCCGCGCCCGCCGCCGGGCAGCGGCTCACCCGGCGCCACCAGTACATACACTCACAGAAACAGACTCAGGGCGTGAATGGCATGGGCAAAGGAAATGGCATGGGATCAGCAATGAGCAAACGTGCAACGGAATTAGCGCCCCGCTCCTTTGTGAAATGTTAACGAACATCTGTGCTAATGCCGACCTCCAAATAACCACAAATCCTTACCAACAGGCCAATGCCTGACCCGTGTCATTGTCCGTGTCCGTATCTGTCTGTCTGTCTGTCGGCAGGTGTCGGTGTGTCTGTCTGTCTGTCTGTCTGTCTGTCTGTCTGTCTGTCTGTCTGCCTGTCTCTGACCAGTGTCTCGGTGTCGGCAGGTGTCGGTGTCTGTCTGTCTGTCTATCTGCCTGTCTGTCTCTGACCAGTGTCTCGGTGTCGGCAGGTATCGGTGTCTCTGTCTCTGACTGGTGTCTCGGTGTCGGCAGGTGTCGGTGTCTCTCTCTCTCTCTCTGTCTCTGACCAGTGTCTCGGTGTCGGCAGGTGTCGGTGCTGGTCCTGCTGCCGGCCGTACTGCTGTCGGTCGCCATCCGCAGCCTCCACCAGGGCCCCCTGCTGCTGCACGGATCCCTGATGGCCGCCCTACTCATCCGATGTATCATGGTCATCGCCACATCAGTGGTGCTCAACATCGCCCAGCTCACCGGGGTAGGTGGGGCTCGCCACTTCACCGGGGAAGGTTGGGCTGGGGGCTCAACATCTCACCGGTCACCGGGGTAGGTGGGGCTCAACATTGTTCAGTCGAGCATCAACTTTCTACAGCTGATTTCTGTAAGTTCCATATAGGATCTTTGCAGAAGCAGTCATGGAAAGAAATTGATGGCTTTTGAAAAAGTCAAGCAGTGCTAAGGCAACGACGTAGATCGCTATAGCATGTAAGAAAGGAGCTGACCTTCCCGATGTAATTGTTTTATTGCCGGGGACTGCAGGACAATCAAATATAGTGCAGAAACTGCCTAACAACTACTATCTTTGATTGGTGTGGTCTCAATATCCAGGACGCATAATTGCATAATTCATGTAAGTGCAATGCGATAAGTCTGCTCGGAGAGAAACAAACTGCTATCTCTTCACCATCTGTTTGGTAAGTTGCGCACATGCGGCTGCCAAGCTTCGACAAGGTGTTTACAAGGTATCTGCATTGTTCCTTTGAGGTGCAACATCAACGCTCGACCGCCGAGAATATCAAGTAACTCCCGGGGCCGCCACTTCCTCCTCCTCGTGCTCCCCGATTCATTCAGCGGCTGCAGCTGAGCCCTACGTGACCTCCAGAATCACGAGGAGGCCTATTTACCGGACCGCCGCCGCGCGGGGCATGCACTGCACAGTCGATGTCGCGTGCTCGCCCGCACTTTGAGGAGGGGTAACCACTACCTCCAGCGCCACTACGGCCCATTGCTGATCAGTGTGTGTGGTGCGTGTGTCCGTGCCACACGTCAGACCTGTCTCCCTCTAAGCCCCTGTCATCGAGAACACAAATCTAATCACGCAACATCTTACCCGTGTGTAAACAGGCGGCCACCGAGCTGGCGGAAAGTGTCTGGGCCTGCTTGTGCTCATTGAGTGGCGGGGTAATCTCGCCCAGTTCTGCCCCCCCGTCTCCCCGTCCCCGGGTCAGTCAATATTGACCTCCGGGGGGCTGTTGAGCTGTAGTGGCGGTCCGTTTGCGGCGATGGAGAAGTGTCCCGGCCGGTGCAATCGGCTCCGATAGCTCGTCAAGGCGGCCGTGAGAGTGCGGTCGTGGCTGTCGAGTGTCCGGATGGGGAAGGCCGCTGAGGGGAGGGGCTCCCACCGAGTGTCCAGGCTGGGGAGGGCCGCGGGGTGGGGGGTGGGGGGGCTGCCGAGTGTCCAGATGGGGAAGGCCGCTGAGGGGAGGGAGGGGCTACTGTCGAGTGTCCACTTCCAGACTGGGGAAGGTCGGGAGCGCTCAGCACTACCGCCTGGAAGACAGAGTTATAGGCTGAACTGAGATTGCGCACCGTGCATTGACGCGGCCGAGCAGCGCTCCTTACTGACTGCTCAGTGATCTGCAGCTTCGGAATGGAGATGGATGTTAGAGACGTCTGAACATTTGTCGGAAGCTTTGTGCATTTTTGCAATAACTCAAAAACGGCGGCGCGCAGCGCCGCCAAACTTTCATCACCTTTTCTTACATCAATTTGACACGTTCCCTGAAAATTTGAGCGAAATCCGTCGGGAAATTGTTGAGAAATTGACGTTTTAGTGACGTCATGTTCGCCATTTTCGCCTCAAAAACGGCAAAATTTCAAACGCTGCTAACATCTTCATTTTTAAAGGAATCAAGACGTAACAAAAAAGGTTATACGTAATTCTACTTTGTCTATCAAATGGCTATCTCGGTTTTTTGAAAATCTTGGATTTTGGCCAAAAGTTTAAAAAAAAAACTGACTTTTTTTGGGAAAATAATTATAAAATCCAAAAATTTGAGTGTATCGAAAAAACCGGAACATGTGTCAGAGATATGGTCTATGTGCACCTAGTTTTGGGTGTAGTTTGGATGGAATCAACGTGAGGTGTTGACCTCGGATCAGATCAAGGTCAGGTCAGATCTCCTCAGGTCACGTAGTTGGTCGAATGAGGTCATATTGCACATCATTTGATTTGGCACGTCTTCCCGAATCCATTGATGACCCTCCCGATTGGCTAGCTCAGTTTGATCGTATCGGGAGTTATTGACGAAAAACTCTTATATGACCTTAGTGACGTCGCAAATGACGTCACTGAAATCACAAATTTATGTGCATGACATAGTTTTAGATCATTCCGAGCGGCGAGCACCAATATAACAGTTCTCATACTTTCCCCATGGACTTATAATGGTGAGGTCACGTGATCGACCTGACCTCAGGTGAGCCTCAGCAAAAATCTGAGACATCATGTACTAGACATTTCATGAAATACCGGATTTCAGCCGATGCTTACGACATGCACAAGATGTGACCTCTGGAGGATACTAGGTCCTGCAAGTTTCATCTCCCTGCGCAAGCTCATCTGGCACTGAGGGCGTTGCAAAAGTTGCGACATTTTAAGACCGTGCAGAGGTTCACCTATGACGTCATTGGTCAGTGACCTGATCTGACTTGAAAATGTGGTTTATGTACGAGATCTGGCTGGAATTAGAAGCTGTGCATGCTAAGTTTCAGCTCCCTTTCGCTGGCGTATTCTGAGCTATCGCAAAAAAACTATATGGGGAGGGGGAACTCTCTCAGCCGGCGCGGGCTAACTCGCTACGCTAATATCGGAACACTGGACAGAGAGCATGTCTCGCTACCCAGAGGTGGGTTCTCAGTGCCACGGTCCTCTCCGGAGACCATGTCAGACAGTCGGGCACTGCCCTGCCGGTGACCTTACCTGTCTGAAGTCATTACTCGACCTGATCTGACCTGTTCTGACTGGGGCGCGGCCCGATCTGACCTGTTGGCGCACCCGACTGACCGGGGCGCGGCCCACTCTGACCTGTTCTGACCGGGGCGCGGCCCGCTCTGACCTGTTGGCGCCCCCGGCTGACCGACAGGCGGCCTCAGACGCAGACGGCGGCCTGGGCTGCCGGCTGCTGCAGGCCTTCTACAAGTACGCCGTGCTCAGCTCGTGGACCTGGATGCTGGCCGTCGGACTGGGACTGCACAACTCGATCGCCCGCCCGTTCGCCAAGCAGTTCAGCGCCTGGGTGTTCTGCACGCTCGGCTGGGGTAAGCTGATCGACCGCGCCACTGTGCGCTCAGCTCGCACAGTGGGCCAGTCATCACACCACGGGGGCAGCCGAGCCCCTCTGGCAGTGTGCACTATGCAAAGGACGGGCGCCGGAGTATACCGATATATCGCTGCTCGGGTGGCTGGCTGGCTCCTGATTAACTCGGTGACAGTTTCAATTTCGCTATCTCTAGCGGAAGAAGTACGACCCCGGGAAATAATTAACCTCCGGAGACGCATGAAGTGGTGCCAGGGAGCGGGCTCGTTTGTCGGTCAAAGGGCGCTGATTCCAGCTGACAGCCGTTCAGACCCGTTCAGTGGGGGAGGGCGGTGAGACAGACATTGCGGCGACGGGAACTGGCCGGGACGGCCATTGGGAGTTACGGCGCGCTCCTAATGGAGTCGCCTCTCAGCCACCTGCACAGTTCGGAGGTGTCGGCGGGAGGCGGCCGGAGGCGGCCGGAACCGGGAGGTGCAGGTGCCGGGAGGTGGTGGGAGGCGGCCGGGCCGGCCCGGAAGGTGGGTGGCGGGAGGCGGCCGGGGCCGGGAGGTGGGTGGCGGGAGGCGGCCGGGGCCGGGAGGCGGGAGGTGGGAGGCGGGAGGTGGCGGGTGGTGGGAGGCGGGAGGTGGGAGGCGGGTAGTGGGAGGAGATGAGAGGTCGCAGTAGGCGGGAGGCGGTAGGAGGTGGCGGCAGGAGGGGCGGTAGCTGGGAGGCGGGTGGCGACAGGACTCTCCAGACGGTGATCCGGTCAGTTATATTATCTATTCCGTCAGTCTGTCTTAGAACTTTATCGGTTGCAGGTTGTTATTTTAGTTTGTTCGGCTGATGTCATAGTTTTTATTGGTTCTGTCATTTCGTATCACTTTTTAACCCGTTATATTACTTTGTCCAAATACGTGTAGGACGAACTTTGCCATTCAATAGATCTCGCTTGATATCTATGACAACAGTCGCTGGCAGGCCAAATGCACCTTCTGCGTTGCGTTGAAAAAAGGTAGCAAACGAAAAGTTATGGCGATAAATCACCAAGATTCAGTTCTAAATTTTGAAAAATATATAATATTTTTTTTTTAAATCGAGATTACCCAGCTGATTTTACAGACTACCAGCAGCCTTAAAACATTTACGGCATGTGTTTATATCTGTTCTGTTAGTCTTTATGCTATTATCTATCTAATACTTCAATCATATGCCATTCTTGCCAAAACTTTAAAATCATGCTACACTATAGTGTAGGTTCTATAGAACCTCGATATCTAAAAATTGCTTGACTGATTTTGAGGAATTTTGTCTCAATAGTCAATATACTTCCATCAGTTCGAAACAAGTATTCAGAATTTGGCGTACCTACGGCTCGCCGTTTTTAGCTATAGCGTAGTGAAAATTTGGGAACGTTCTTGCCCCCCCCCCCCCTGCAAATCGCTGGCTAATATGCAACTTGCAAGTACTTACACCTACGATAAATATTTTCGTTTTTCAATGGCGCAAGAAAATTACGTAATCTGTATGCCATTGTTTAGCATGTAAGATTAATATCCATGCTTTTTGGGAAGGTTTTTAGTAGATATGCGCCAGTGCCTGACCTCTGGTACTGGCCTCTGGTACGTGACGAGAGGTATCTCGTCACTCGAACGATACACGATTACCGATTACCGTGTTGCCGACATAGCGTGACAAGGACAACTAACAACAGTCGGCTAGCCTGTGATCGCTTGCAAATGACCCGGCTCTGATACCTACATAAGCCTCACATTATGCGCACTTTGTGCATGAATAGCCACAGCAGTGACGTAAATGAAAGGCCGCCCTGTGTATGACGCTCCGCTCAGAAGGGTCAATGGGAATGAGCGGGAACAGGCTATCAACAACTGATCTCAGCACAGCTATACATAGGCGCTTGTATAGGCGAGGTATCGGAAAACTGAGTCTGGAAGAGTCAGAAAAATGAGAAAAATTGTGGCTGACGCAGCGGTTTGTGTTTGTTAGGGGCTGACGTGGTGGTACACAAACGAGCTGTTCTGCTCCGGCCGGAGCGCCGGTGTCGGCCTGCCCGGCGGTCCCCGCTGGGGCTGGCACTCCCCACCAGCAGTGCTCGCCACGAGCCACAACAGCCCAGCCCAGTCCATACACCGGCAGTGTTCGCCCAGTCCCTACACCAGCAGTGCTCGCCACGAGCCACAACAGCCCAGCCCAGTCCCTACACCAGCAGTGCTCGCCACGAGCCACAACAGCCCAGCCCAGTCCCTACACCAGCAGTGCTCGCCACGAGCCACAACACCCCAGCCCAGTCCGGCTCAGCAGTGTTCGCCCAGTCCCTACACCAGCAGTGTTGGCCACGAACCACAACACCCCAGCCCAGTCCCTCCACCAGCAGTGTTCGCCACGAGCCACAACACCCCAGCCCAGTCCGGCCCAGCAGTGTTCTCCCAGTCCCTACCAGCAGTGTTCGCCCAGTCCCTACACCCCAGCCCAGTCCATACACCAGCAGTGTCCGCCCAGTCCCTACACCAGCAGTGTTGGCCACGAACCACAACACCCCGGCCCAGTCCCTACACCAGCACTCAGCAGTGTTCGCCCAGTCCCTACACCCCAGCCCAGTCCGGCTTAGACCCAGGGGGTAACCGACCGGTGCAGCCCGTAACCGTTCATGGTAAGAATGCCACGGCCCAGCCCGGCCCAGCCCGTCAAAAAAAAAAAAAAATCCATGATCTAGAATAGTTATGTTCCTTTTTTGTCCTAGCTGCGACCCTTTGAGTCCATTTTAAAGTTCTGACCAGGCCCGTTCATAGCCCGTTGATTCCTCATATGTGAGGGAAAAGCCCAGCCCGCAGTCCAGCTCAGCCCTTGGCCTGTTAGGCTGGCGCGACCCATGGCGAACACTGTCCACCGGTGACCGGACAGCCCCAGGTGAGGTCGGTCCGCCCCCCCCCCCCACCGGCCAGCCCCAGGTGGGGTCGGTCCCCCTCACACTCTGCCCAGGTGCTGTTGATCGCGAGCTCAGACCCGCCAGGTGCTCCACGTCCCGTGTACATACTCGTGTACTTATCCCACAATGCTGCCAAAGCGACATGCTGACACAAATCAATTATGAGCATTGGTATTTTCTACCCGTTGTTCAAATGAGGTCACCGTGTTTTACTCAATCGCTTATTTGTAATGAAGTAATTTATTTATTATGATCTTGGATAGCGTCACGCGTCAGATATGTTCACACGGCCAGTCACCGAGTCTGTTTGGCCGTCCCCGTGTAGCGCCGTGGATTACCGCGGGGCGGGGTTGGTGGGGAAGGGGTGGCAGGGAGCCGGGACGGCGGCAGAGGGGGAGCCGGGCTGGCAGGAGAGGTATCGAGGTCCGTCTCCATCGGCGTTCCCGGGGAACTGACCGGGGTCGCTCCAGTCTCCCCGCGGCCTGCAGAGACGTCCAACAGCCCTGCCGGTCCTTCTGAACGGACCGGCCGGGTCTCCCAAACAGCCCTGTCGGTCCTTCTGAACGGACCGGCCAGGTCTTCCAAACAGCCCGGACGCAACTCCTCAACAGACCCCGGGCCGCTCGATAAAACCCAGTCGGACCGGGCCCCCAAACGAACCAGCAGAGTCTGGTCTCCTGAACAGAGACCCCTGGCCTCTCAAACGGACCGACCATTCCCCACAAACAGTCTGGGCGGTACTTACATACTCCCAAGCGGACGCCGGCCTCCTGTTCAAACCCAGCTGGTCGCCGAGCACCCTCGGTCCGCCCACCACGGCGCGGCGGCGGCCCGGAGCCGACGTCATCACGTCACTGCGTCACCATGATCAGCGTGAATCGCGGCAGGGACGGCAGCCCGGCCGCGAGACGGTCCAGGCATCAGACCGCCGCGCCGCGAGCACGGCTGGCCGGAAAGTCACGACGTGACTGTCTTATTAAGCAGGCACTTACGGAAGCCTTAAACAAACTCGATTCGCATAATTAACGTGTGGGCTTTACTGCGCAGTACATGAAGCGCTATAAACGATTTTGTTCATACTCGGATTTTTTTTATATATAATTCTTTCACGGATTTTATAAAGACCCAATAAAAGCTATGCTAATTGCGGAGTTTATCTCTCTTGCATTTAATAATCGTTTCATCATATCTTGATATAGTAATTAACAAGTTTCATTTACAGAGAGCGAGCAATAAGCATTTTAGATATATTTAATTCAAACGCTGTTAGTTTTCGATAATGCACTAATTAATAAATAAAGTCTTAACCAGCTTATTTGACAGATCATCAACGAGAGCGATGCGTTAGCCTTTGGTCGTACCTATAGAATTCATATTAAATCGGCAAACGTAGGAGGTTATGTCGGACTCCAGCTGTTCGGTCCCTGATTGAGCTAGGAGTTCGTGGAGGAAGAACTGGCTGGTCGTAACCTAACCTTTTTACGCCCAATTAGGCGGCAGTGCACACATTTCAGTAATAGTGCAGATGATTTCAACAGTAGTTACGGCGTAGTCTATGGCGAACTGTGAAAATCGGTTGCACTATTACTGAGCTGTGTGCGCTATGCCTATATTTGGTCGTAAACAGGTTTACTTAGATAAAGCCGATGGTATCCCCCTTTAGAAGGTTTCAACTTTATACATTGACCTTTCTGGTAGGGGAAAGGGACTATATCCCACCTTCTAAAATGTTGTTAAAACCAGTTAAATTGTGCCCGACTTTATAGATTGGATGACCAGGAACACGGTTCTGGCATTTATTTTTCATTAAACATCTTAGGCTTCCCATATTCCAAACACAAACTTTCAAATATGTGACGTCACAGCCCAAAATTACCTCCTTCCCCAGGCCACATTACTGTCATAAAGCTGATTGTTTTTACTCTGTAGGCACCACAACAAAGTTCAGACCAAGTTTTAAGCGATTTTTCAACGAACAAACCCATTTAAATCAGAATGACTAAACGAGGTGACGTCACACTAACGGTCGCTCCATGTTGAAGATAGGGCCTTGTACAAGGCCCATTTTCAAA